TTTCCAGCTCTCTCAGTCCTTTCAGCTCTCTCAGTCCTTTTCAGTGGCAGCTGTGCAAGGTGTGCTGAGCTGAGCATTTCCAAACAAGACTGAACTGTGCCCAAGCAGAGCCTTTTGCCACCTTTCACTTTCTCTGGTGCCATGTTCTGTTTATTACATGCAGACACAATGCAGGGGATGTCAAAAGAAGCAGATTGGAGATTATCTAGAGCAAAACATGACAGATACGGACATGGCCTATGAACCTTGGAGCTGTCTGGTGGCTGAGAGGGGAGGTGAGCAAGGTGACAGGGACAGGAGAGGGAGGTGAGCAGGGCTGGTGGGGAGGCACCTGAGGATTGAACTCCACAGGTCCAGAGCATTTTCCTGGGCCCTGTGAGCTCTCTGGCTTTGAATGTCCCTCCACAAGTCCGAGCTGTCCAGCTGCTGCTTCACTACTGGCACAAGGATTCTTCAGGCACAGGGGGTGATCTTGGCCCTTTGGGCTGCTGCAGTTTCCTCAGGATTACCAATGAGTTTTGTGCCCTTTCCTGTTTGCATTTCCATCTGAGATTTACAGCAAACAACAACGAGAGGTGCCAGAGGGCAACTTTTCAATTCTTGGCAAAATAAAAATATGTGCCAAGATTCATGCATATATTCATGTGGACACCTGTGTTACTGAAACACATTTCCTTTGCTACTTGTGATCTATTTACTCGAACCACTCTAAAATTCAACTAATGCATAATACTGAAAAATCTCCTGTGGAGCTGGGTAGAAAACATGAAACTTTATTCTGTGCTGGGAAATTCTGCTCTATATATTACCCTCTTTTCTCTCCAAGCACTTCCAGCATGAAGCCCCTTGCAAACCCAAGGAGGCTCTGACCAGCCTTAGGGATCAATATTTGTTTATAAACCATATTCCTGGGCAATTCCATTTTCTACCCAGTACTGAATTTACCTCAATGCCTTGTCTGGTTATTCAGTATTTTCCAGTTGACTAGAGGAGCTTACACTCCTGCCAGGCTCCGAGTGGAAAACTCTTCCAGGGGGTCTCAGCCCCTAAACCCTTCCCCTGACGGAAAACTCTTCCAGGAGGTCTCAGCCCCTTCCCCTGGGCCTTGGAGGATGGGGATCTTTCCTGCAGAGAGGTGCAGGGGAGGAGCAGGACCTTGCTCAGGGCTGATGTTTGGTGACCTGTGGGGAGCTCCTGGTTCTGCTCAGCCACCCTGGTGTTCATCTCCTCCTGCTTCACACCAGGCTGAAATGTGGCTCTGAGCACATGTGCAGAACTTCAGCCTGAGCAGGACCTGAGAGGGGAGCAGCAGTGGAGACTTTCAGCTCAGGGCCAGGGAGAATTCCAGAGAAGATGAATTACCCTGGGACAGATCTCTGCTTTGTGCCAGCTGTGGCACAGCCCCTGGCCTGAGGGGTCTCTTTTGACCCCCCTTGCTGTGGGAGCCTGTGGTGCAGCCCCAGCTCCCTGCTCAGCACCAATTAGAGAATCAGGAGTTTCATTCTGGGACACTGCAGTGCACTGAGCCCTTCCCAGAGGGGATTCCAGCCCGTGATTTTTGCCCTGTTTGCTGCAGGGAGCTTGAGGCAATGGCACTTGTTTGATCTCCAGCCAAGCCTGGGTTTGAGGTCTCTTACCTGCAACAAATAAAAAAATAAACATATTAGAAGGTGCCATGCTGATAATTGATTCTTCCAAGAACATTTTTCCCAAAGCTTAAACCATTTCCAATACCAAGAAGTTATAATGAAACCTAAGTATATTTATGAAGTGCAATCATTAACAATGAATTAGCCAGAAGAATCCAATTTCCTTTTCCATCAGTGATGCTAACACAGACTGGAATTTCATTGATGTATTGGGCATCATCATCATCCTCTTAACTGAGAGAAAAATTCTATTTGCCATTCTCCAGTGGCTGCACTTTGCAGGAAAAATGGCATCTTACACAAAGGATCAGGCCAGAATCCTAATGGAGAAGGTATTTACAAGAAAATAAATGTGCACATAAATATTTCACAGGCATCTCATACATGCATTGTGTTGCATTATGTTTAATGGATGAATGTAACCATTTTACTTGTGTGGATTTTCTCCTCTTAAGCAATGTCTTGAGGAGTTTAATGTAGAGAAATAAATTTGTGTGAATGTCTGTAGTGTTTTATAAGATAATATATGGGAGAGGTAGAGGAATCCTTCTCCTAGGAGTTCTTTTCCTAAAGAAAGGAGTTTACATTTAGTGTGTGTGAGTACCAAATGTGTGTGTTGGAGCTGTGGTCCCTGCTGTCCCTGCCCAGGCTCTGAGCCCTGCCGTGCTGTCCCTGTGCCCTCAGAGGCTCCCAGCCAAGGGCTGCAGTGCTCCTGGGTGACCAGAGCGAGTCCAGCACACCCAGTGCCCCGAGCAGGGAGGGTTCAGACACCACCCCAGGCTCTGCTGTGACCTGGCTGCTTGGGCATCACTGCTCCCTGCTCCCAGCCCTCAGGAACTCAACAGAGATTTCCTGTGGAGCTCCTCTCTCTGGAAATGTCTCAGGTCAAATTCTGCTTCTTGAGTGCTCTGCATCCTCCCCCCACCCTGCTGAAGTGTTGGCATTTGAACAGTGTTGGCTGGATGGCCCCAGTGCTGGAGGGGTCCCCATGGTGTGTGCTGGCCATGACACAAACTGCTCACTCACAGGGCAGGGTGGCACTGCCCCACAGGGTCACACCAAACACTGATTTTGGTCTCAAACCAAAAATGAAACACTAGATTTTGATCCTGGTGATATAACAAGACAGTGATTGATACCAAGCAAAAAAAACACCAAAAAAACCCCAGCACTTTATTAAGGGAAAAGTAATTTTTGGCAATTTTATTTTAAAAGTGAAGGCATGGAAAGTTTATATAGAAAGCAAACTGAAGTTTTAATGAAATGTGTCTCTTTTCCTCTCTATTAAGAATTCCCAAACCAATGAATTTCTGAACCAGATCAAGGTAACCAAAGGTAATTAAAAAAAAAAATTTAGACCAGATTGTATTTGGACTTTTCTTGAGTATTAATAGATGCAACCATGATATCTTTTTGTCACATGAACTCTAGAGAGGAAAGAGGCTGCTGGTTTTGGTTTTTTTTTAATGCTGGTGCTAAAATTACCTGCTAGTTTGGCACATTTGTTGTGACAGTTGCAGTGTGCACTCCCACAGGCTCCTCTCCCACCACAGGAGCTGGGGAGCCACGTGCTGGGTTTGTAGTGCTCCAGATCAGCTCCAGCTCTGCAAGAAGGAGAATTTGCTCCAATAAACCAGTGCTGGTCTCTGGCACCCACTGCAGGAGAGGGCTGGAGGAGATGGTGGTCAGAGGAAAAGTCACTGGAAGAGGCTGGTCCTTAGTGCTGCTGCCTTTGGGCAGGGTGACTCGACAGAAGCTGGAGCTCTAGGTCAGGTTTAGCAGCCACAGAAGCTTCATTCCTCACCC